TTTTTTTTTTAAATATATCTTTATTGATTTCAGAGAGAGGAGAGGAGAGGGAGGGAGAGAGAGAGAGAAACATCAATGATGAGAAGAGTCACTGATTAGCTGCCTCGTGCATGCCCTCTACTGGGGATTGAACCCACAACCCAGGCATGTGTCCTGACCGGGAATTGAACCGTGGCCTCCTGGTTCATAGGTTGACACTCAACCACTGAGCCACGCCGGCTGGCCTAGGCTTTTTCTTTTTAAATGTAGTTTCTTAATCAGAGGATACTCTCTTTTAAGTATCCCTTGAGTCAAATTTACTTCCTCAACAGCATGGCCAAGAATCAGAAATTCAGACTCCAAGAAACATCAAACTAAGAAGCTTACCAAACTTCAGATGATCTCAAGTTCTTTTCATAGCAACCTCCCTTCTCAGTTCAGATCCAAGAAACATAGGGTCTCATTGGGAGCTAGGAGTAAGATAGGGGTGGGAGAACGGACATGGGCAACAAAGGTAAAGGATCACAGCATATGTGGCTGAGAATTTGGAGACTGAGGCAAAATTGGGGGATATTAGGGAATGAGCTTTGGAATACCTTACAGATCAGAGGTAAAGGGGGTTCCTGGACCACCAGGATATTCAACAGTTCTCTGCTCTCATTCTCTGGATTTGAAGTGCAAATAAAATTTCCCTCTCAAACTGAACCCTTCAGATCTTTTCTAACCCTGGCAGCAGTTCACTTTTAATGTCATTTTTCCATGGGTGAGTTAACATCCAGAGGGGCTTTGGTGGACATTAAAAAATATGTAGAAGTGAAAATGCCTATTAAAGAACACATCAAGTGCACTAATCTTAAATGTACAAATTTTTTTCTACTTATCAAAATCAGGGGACCAGCAACTACCCAGAAATCCTGGAGAGGATGGAGGTGAGGAATCAGAAAGTTCAAGTAACCCTTGTTGTACATAAACTTGATATATAAAACTTCAAATTTACAGCATTAATAAAGTTGTGTACTAGCTCATTTTACATAGCCCAAAGCCTAAAATGTAAGAAATTTTCAGGCAGGTATATAACATTAATAATAACAACAACAATAACCATAGCTACCATTTCTGATACAAACTAACTTGCCAGACACTGTGCTAAGTACTTTGCATGCATTATCTAATTTAATCCACCACTTCCTACCACGAAATAAATAAATAAATAAATATATATATATATATA